ATAAAAGTTCCAAATATAAAGGGCTGCCTAGAGCCATATTTGTTTAAGCATAAGCAAATTTTTGCATGGTTTATTTTTTTTTTCAAACTTCATGCACTCTTGTACATCGGCGGACTTAATGCCCAATGCGTTCTCTTCGAGTCAACCTTTGGGTGGTGTAGAAATCATATATGGTAAGTGCACAGAGGTTACATATTGTGACATGTAATCAATGATAATATACACGGTTCGATACATACATAAACTTATACGTACATATATACACACTTACGACACATCAAATCACATCATAAATACACATATATAAATATGTTTATAAATATACATATTATATTCGTTCACTATGTATACCGGAATATAATGTGTATTATGGACTAGGTAGTTCTGCTATTTTATTAAGAAGGAGATCATGCACCTTCTTTTAAAATAAAAAACTGTTGGTGGACATCCCTATTTCGAGCAGGAGCGCATTCCAGAGTTGTACTGCTTGAACTAAGAACGAAAAGTTCACGAAGTCAGTTTAATGTGTAAGTTGAAAACAAAATGTTGTTATTACAAGTAGTATATGAAAGAAATTCTATTAACAATTAAATCGAAATGTATCGAAGCCCACAGGCGGTTATATCTAAGCGAGCAGAGAAGCGACGCAAGACCTTGCGGCTATGGTGTGAAAGCCCCCTATGATTTATACCTACTTGTAAAATTATTATCATTTTATACTCAATGGTATGCATCGGTATAAAAAATGTCGTATAACTGGTCCGTCCATATGTAATTTAGGAGCAGACGAAATTATTTTTATGGTAATTTTGAAGCTTTCGAATTGGATTTCGGTTGAAACGTATTGCGGACTCTCATTGATTGATGCATTCTCAAGATTGAGAATCATTCAAACATGTAAGCATTGTAGACTTATGATGGATGGAAATAGAAGAAAAAAAAGACCTTGCCGAACCAATAAATCTGACAGGAAGAGATATCTACTGACACAGCTAAACAAACAATATCTTTAAGTACTTTTTTCCAGGAAGCATTATTTATTCATTGAAATTACAATCACAGAAATGTACCTAATTGTTTTTAACTTACATTAATTGCGTAGATATTAATAAGCCTGTATATATCGGAGCAATTCGAGCGAAACATCAGGTAGGTAAATAAACACAAATATTATCAGTAAACTATAATTGAAAAATGATACTTTAGGCAAACTAAAACACTGTTTTATCTAACGACGAACGAAATTAAAAAGTAATGGAGAATTCCACTATCCATTCCCGGAGGTGAGAAGTATTTTTTTGCTTTAAAATTAAATAAGACCAAATAAGCAAATTCATAAACGAGGGAATGCTGAGGCAACAAACATTTGAAATTCAACCTTTTTCAAACTTTTTTAAGTGCGTTAAAAATCCGTCAAATTGAAAATAGAATGATTAATTAAAACAGTTAAAAATGTATCTCTAAGCGCACATTATATTACATCCTCTGTCTCAATGTGTCATTATTCAAATATTGGAGCCGTTTATAAACCAGATGGGAAATGAAATACCGGTGATCGTGTTTCACAGAGGAAGGATGTAGGTGAGAAGCCTTATTGTAACTGTACACAAAAATTGTTGCCTAAATAAGAGCAAACGATACAAAAATGGTTTTGATGAATTTATAATATACAGTGTGTGTGCGGTTCTAAGATTTATATGGGAAATAATGTGTAAATGTGTGGCCATTTATGAGTGCCGAGTAACAATAGTCAGTTGTTCTACTGAAACTATTATAGAATATGGTATTTTCTCAAGGTATAACAATGGTTATTATACAAATAGCTTATATACATGGTATATTTTATTCTCAAATGTTTGGGGTTTTTTTTAAACATAAGTACCTTTCAGCTGGTAATAAATTTTCTGTATCTTTTCTTTATTAAAAAAGACTACTCCCGCATTAGGAATATATCCTATGTCGCGGGGGACCTTACAAACATACATGAAACGGACACAGAGAACACCCAGACTCAGAAGAACAATTTGTGGATCACACAAAGTGTCGTCCCATGGGGGGTTTGAACCCACAACACTCGGCGTAATGGGAAGCGGCGTGGTGACCGCTTAAACCACTACGCCATCCGTGCAGTCAATAAATCAATATACAAAATGATTGATTATCAAGAGTTTTGAGGTTTCTTTCTTATTTACTACTTTCTTTTAACCATGGCTTTGCTTGAATTTTTAATCAATTTTACCTATATATATACCCATCTATATGCGTAATTGGGTAATATTAATCGTCACAAACTTTTTCGTTAATAATGAGAATTGGATTTTAAATAGAAAGTACTAAGTCCTGCGTATTTTCGCCATGTATTGCAGTGCAATATTTAATACTGTTAGCATTACATTTATAAACAGCAGTATTCGAGGGCAACATAAATAGCCTTGCAACATCTCTGATAAATACGGACCTCTACTAAAAAACCCCACTACAACTATCAATAATCGGCTTTTGAGCGTCTATGCTTTCAAATTTACCACAGGAATGAATAAACACAATATTTTACTCATTATTTAATCTGAGCAAGTTCTTTCAAACAGACTTCAAACAGATGTCAATATTGACGTTTTATTTTGGTCGAACATTCAATTTCTTTACTTATGTCATTCCCATCATACAAGCAAATAAATAATACTAACAGAAAATATATTAAATGAAAACCATTTTCTGGAATAAATCGATCAATTCACATGAAAGGCGGCAGAGTACAAAAGTTGTTGTAAACGGTAGCTCCGAGATAAGATCGGCTGGGCTCGACGCCATTTTGAATTTTCTGTTATTCTTTTTTTGGCGCGCGTGGACTGCATGTTTCCAGATTAACAAGTTGCAAAAAGTCCATAAGCAATTTAGTTTAGTAATTGTAATCTAAAAGTAATTATAATTTTCAAACTTAAATATATTAGCTGCCCGGATGATTTCGTTCTGTCCAAAGTCCAATAGAAAAAAAATAAGTTTTAATACGTACCTAATATTACAGAGTGATCACTTTTATTCGAACTTTATTTTGGGGTAGGCTCAGATTTCTATATATACATCCTAATCGGCTTGAAGACATACCAAAGATAATTGTAACGCGCTTTTGTTTTGTTTTGATTGGCGTCAAATGTTTGTCGCCAATCAAAGCAGAACAGTTTCTATGTGAAAAGAGAAGTGTTGTTTTTACTCATCGCAATTGTTACGTTTTTTTCTCTCTATAAAGAGCCTTCCTTGTGCCTTAACGAATATATATACAAGAAGATCATTTATAAAGAAAATTAGCTGAATTAGTCAACCCGTTCTTGAGTTTTATGCTTATCAACACATTTGGCGATTCATTTTTTTATTTTCAATTTCGAAGCAATTCGAGCTATTTAATTCAATTTAATTTATTGCATTCCATAATGTATATTCAGGTGGTAGGCTTAAAACTAGGTAACAATTATGGACCCTGTCGGGCACAGCACTATCAGGATTTATATAGATATATGTATAATATAGAACTCAAAAAGATTTATCTTCATAATGCCATTGATCATTAACCATTATATTTTATTTCTGTCAAGACAAAAAGTACACAGTTACATATTTAAGTATTTGATCTGATTTCTATAAATTATTTAGAATTTCTATTTTGGCCGAAACCGTTCATCACTGGAAGATCATCCTTCGGCTCATACACATTGACTTGCAGGTGTCGATAGGCGGTGCTAGTTACTAAACCATAGGTGATGACCGTCTGTACGTTTTCTCCCATTCCATAACCCCACTAGTATATAAAAAACTAATTTATTTTATAATGATCGATTAAATAATAAAAGTTTAAAATCTAATGACGAAAGAATCATGTTAAATTTAAAATTTCAAACTGCAATTAATGAAACGTGCTATAAAATCAGTTTTCATTAAAATATAAAAATAACAATTAGTGTCTTCCATTAAACCTCTTTTTATAATGATTACTTGGCCGCCCAAGTGCGTTACACAGTTGATTTGAACACATAAAGTTACTTCAATAACGTTGTCAGTGTTGATTCGTTCCCGTCCTGCAATAAGTCTTATGATATCAATCTACTGTTTAATGGAATGGATTTTTATATGGCAACTCTTATGAATGGCTGTCAGTGTAAAAACGTCGATTCTATATTATCAGAACGTTTTACTTGGCATTCAGAGGAAAGATAAGGTTGAATAAAACCTATGAAGCTTTCTGAACAAGAATATATTTACTACTTTATTAAATCACAGTTTTTATTTCAATTTAAGCATTTTGAATCCAAGTTCTTTGTTGAAGATTTACGAAGATAATTACAAAAAAAAAAAGCTAAACTAAAAAGTTTACTAATTTAGAGACTATCAAAAATATTGTTCACACAAAGATAGCAAGGAATTGCCTGATACTGTACAAACTGACCTAAATATTACAGTTTCTACAATAGAAATAATATCAGTATTATAATGAGCGCAGTCGCCATATCATATAATTAATCTTTCTTTTTACAATTGTTTTACAAAAATACAGGCTTATACAGTAACCGCGAGACCGCAACGCAAGATTCTCGGTAACATCATTATCGGATGGAACTGCGGTGACGATGCGCAGGCGACGGTAAAACCGATGCGGGCTTTACGGGTCTTTGTGGCAAAACAATACACAAGGTAACAACGAACTTTATTGTTCAAGCAATAAGGTCAATATTAACGTGGACATTCCGACAGACAGTAAATTGGAAAATTCTCTTGCGCATTTTGGTGATCGTCAAATGGTTCACCTTAATTATATTTAAACTGTTGCTACTGTATGCATTTATATAGGTGGCTTGTTAAGACCAAAACGATGATTAAATGTGGGTAGATGCAGATAGTGGAAATTCATAAAAGCGTCGTCGAGCTCTTATCTCTATTTTTTTATCTGATGTGATAAGGACAAAAAATAAATAGAACTAGGGAGTAAAATAAGGACTTAAACTAAGTACTTACTCATTACATGACGTATTTAAAGTCTGCGTAACCGTCACCAGAGTTGTAGTCGTCGTCGTCAGCTTATCACCAATACACTTCTTCCTATAACACTCATCAAGCACTTTGTCCTCTTTTAGAGGCTGCAGAACTTCCTTCACTTTATTAGGTCCCATTTTCACAGTAGACCTTTGGAACTTAAGATTTGCCAACGTCCTCCCATCCGTAGAAATCGCTGTTTCCTCAGTAACCAAAGCACCTTTCTTCGTCCTACATACAGTTTTACAAGTTTTGCCAACTGTGTTACCATTTCTCACTATTTCTTCTTTTGCATCTATTATTGTAGATCTAGTTTGAGGTAGACCGTTTTCTAGCATACTCTTAATACTATCTGCACTGAGCCTCGAGTTTAAAATCTTGTCTAAATCAGTCGTGTTAATGTATTCCTCGTAACCCTGTTTTATTGGTTGTCTTCTTTGGTCTTTCTGCCACGTCGTTTGGTAATCAAAGCCGTATGTAGTTTCAGTTTCGGCACCGAAGTTTTCTTCTACTTTATGTGCCTCTTCGTCTGGTGCTGGTTCTATTTGAGAGCAATTATCATCGAAAAAATCATCTGTGAGTTCAGTTATTTGGGCTCCAGGTCTTTTAACGTCTGTATTGTCGAAATTGAGAAAGTTCGTGTTTATATTGTTGAGTTTCTTTTTTCCGTAGAGCTGTCGATAGTATTTTTCTTGGTCGCCATACATCCAACACACTTTCCACCATTGTTTGCACATCAGGATGTTAGCAGAATTAGAGGCTTTAACATGCCGTGTTGCAGTGGCTGACATGTTTGTTCCTGTTGATTTGGATAATGCGTTTGAAAGAAAAGTTTGAAAAGTGTGACTGCTTTGATGTAAACCGTTACATTGTTTTATCAATAAAAAAGTGACAGTAAAAAGTGTTGTCTTTATTGCAAAATATTAAAACCGTTTAATAGTCGGATAACAGAAAGTGTTGTGTGGCTACCGTACCGTGTGTTGTATTTTTATATTTAATCGTTTATGAGCAATACTACTATTTATATACATCCACTATTCATAACTTTATTGGGAAAAGATGGTCTTACTGCACCAGTGTCATAAATTTTCCTCAAAAACTTTGTCGAAAATGGTTACACATTTCTCTCGCCCACTTTACATTTTTGACAATTTGATGTCGTGTCGCAACAATCGTTTATATCAGAAACTAAACCCTTATCCCTGAACCACAGCAATTTTTATCGAAACTATATTTCAAATTATTGAATTTAAACTCCATCCGCCTCGGTATTGCTATGTCTTAAATCTTTCCTCTTTGCTGCAAATCTCTTCTAACATTAATTTCAAATATCAAGCTAACCGCAAAACCTAACCAATCTATCCCCACACAGCTGCAAGTATACTGCGAGCCGTCCGCCATCATTCACAGGCTGTCATTACCAGTCGACCGACTCAATCGCGCCCATGGTAGTTACCTCGGCTTCGCTGTCTGCTTCGCCATTGTGCACTATATTGCCATTTTATATTTTGATTTATAGCCTAATTGTCTTTTGTATTACATAAATCTTCATATTTGTTGTATATATATTTTTTAATATCACATGTTTAAACTTATTTCCTAACGGCGAAGGGCTCGTTTGTTTGCTGTAATTTGTTCAAAAGGGCCTTCTCTAAAATCTACCAGTCTTATTTGAACAATTATTTTACTGTTCAATACTTCTTTAATTGTTGTTAGTGGCAAATCATTCGTGCGGGATAGTAACTACAGAAATTTAGAACAATGAGTTTAATAACATGACCATAAAAGGCCATTGGAATTAGTATTTAATTAGGAAATTCATCACGCTCAGAGACATTTTAATAAAAAATCGACTGCAGACATAAAGTAAAATATACCAAAGTCAGATTTGATTCATCTCTATCGTGTCATGTCATTTTGTAACCGATTTCATATAGGAGAGGTTCTTATCTATTATCTCCATACAAAAATTTCATTGAAATCGGTTCAGCGGTTTATTAAACTACAATTACATGTACTTATAAGTATTCATCATCATCAACAGCCTTTACTAGTCAACTGCTGGACATAGGCCTCTCCTCAGAAAGGAGGTTTTGGCCTACTATACCACGGTGGCCAGACGGGTCGGTATAGGATTTATTTCAAGTTTTTCTTCACTTTGCAGTTTACTCCCTTACGACACCCTCGGGATGAATAGGGATGGTGACACTCTGTATTCTTAATCCATCACTTAATAAATATAAAAAAAAATATAAAGAAAAATTAAGCGTGTAGAGGTAACAGACAGATAGACATAGACACCTGCCATCATTTTGATATTACTGTGGATTTAGAAAATATATTTTTTATTTTATTTGGAATCGTATACTTCCAGTTCGGTCTCATTCAAATTTGAAGAAAAACAAAAATACTCTTAAGGTCAGAAAACTAAGTAATGAAGAATACTATTTAGTACCATTCATGGTTATGTAGACGCTTTGAAGTCAGTTAATACTTTATTTAAAGTTGATTGTATGATTAGGTTTTTGATATTGAAGTTACCGCTACTTCACGAGATGGGTTACTTAGATTGTTGCCGTTGTACAACACTGTTCCCTTCTAGTGGTGTTACCTTCTTTATAAATTTTCTTATCATCGTTGCTGGCCGATTTCCTGACAGGTTTATTACCTGACTGCCTGGCATTAAAATTGTTTGTTTGGTCAAATTGAGCTGTAAAGTCGAACAATATAAATTTTTAAATTAATTATATTTTCAGGCTCAGTTTTATCCGACATTTTCAGTCTGACCCCGAACTAGGCAGAGCCTGTGCTACGGTACTCAGATTTGAAAAACATACTTAAATATTGATGAAGGTATTGTATATAAATTATATCAGGCACAGAAACATGCGTTTGTTTCTCTTTTTTCTCATAAGTCTAATCTTGCTTATACTTGACAAAACAGAGATTGTTGCTATTGTGTGTGTTGATCTATGACTTTAGAGTTTACAGTAAAATCGATTTCAAAGAATTAAAAATAAAATAAAGATATTTTGAGTTTGAACAAATAATCATGCTCATCTTACGATTATTTGTCATGGGTGGATTTGAACCTAAGACTTTCGGCTTAGCAGTCACGGTCACTAACCACTTAAATTGATTGACGATTAAATGATAAAGCTTTATATTTACTTTTGCCCTTTATATTTGATTAACACGTCCTTGAGGATAGGCCAACAACGAAATAACACCGCCTTAAAAGACACTCAAATAACATGACGTACTTATATGCATAGTTGGTCGAAGTCGAGTATGTATCTGTCTCCACAGATACTCAAATACAATTTGTATCAAATTAAGGTTAAGGCAGACCAGCAACGTTTATGTGTGACATCTTAAACACTAACTAGTCCATTACAAAAATAGGTTTTCTAGCTGCTAGCTATAAGCTCAAAAGATTGTAAGCGCTGTCACCGATGGAGGTACCATCGATCCGACCGGGTTTTGTGGAATCTTTACTACCTATCAGTTTTTCTTGCAGAAGTATTTTCTGGTGGGTCGTTACGAACCCGTGTGGTGACGGATTAAGAATACGGACTCTCACCACCCCTATTCATCCCATGGGTGTCGTGAGAGCCGACTAAGGGAGTAAACTACGCAGGACAACAACACTGCAAAGATCAGGAAAACTTAACCCAAACCTTATACCAACCCGTCTGGCCAGTGTGGTATAGTAAGCCAAAGCCTCCTTTCTAAGGAGAGGCCTATGTCCAGCAGTGGACTATTATAGTCTGTTGATGACCGTTTTTACTTCTCGTTTGGGCCCGTTCAAATTTAAATAAAAAATGGAACCCTAAGAGTGGAAAATTAAGAAATGAAGAACACAGTTTATTACAATTGAAGTCGTCTCTCTCTCTCTCTCTCTTTCTCTTTTTTTTGTATGATATGTTATTATTTAGCTTGATATGAGTAAACAGTAATTATAAAACTACCATAACGAAATTTCAAACACTCTATACAATTATTTTTAATGTGCGTCGATAGCGAATGTTTACGAAGCATATCTCTAATTATAGAGGCGCGGTTCACTATCGCAATTATCGATGTTATCGATTCGATGTTGCGCACCACTATTGTGGCCTTGATTTGTAGCTCATTGTATTACTACTACTTCATTACATTTTAATAGAATTATTATTTTTATTTGATTATTTGTGGCTAGTTTTTATATGCGATTACGAAGACCGCTCTTCCATTAGAGTGGAAAAAACAGTAGGTACTATTCGAAGATTACCATGAGAACTAGTGAAAGTTAAGTTATTAGTTACACGATACATACAACGAAGGATGGAAGGCAAAGAAGTGTATCAGTTTTACCTGAAGGCAAGTATTTTTAATTAATAAATATGATTCTCTAACATAGTTATTAGAAGTAAAATTTTATATAAAATTTTACGTGGCACATTGACGTGTCATGTCAGTTCTGTCAGAAATGAAATATTTAGTTTCTTTGTGTATGTTGTTTTTAACTTTTGTTTTATTTTTGTATGCTGTGCTTTATGAAATAAATATTATTCTATTCTATTCATGAACATCTAAATGTAAATTACTTTAAAAAAGTTTATTCTGTATTCAATGTGCTTAAATTTTGATAAATAATTTATCAAAAAGAGCTGTATTCTTCATCAATTTATCTTCCATGTAATAATTTACTTTTCTGATTTAAAAGAAACCAATGTTAAGTAAGTACAACTAGCACAATTAAAGAAATAATTAAAGAAAACGTTTTAAAAATGACGAAGATATCGCGAAATATACCTAAAAAAACGGTATTGAAACTAAATACCTACCTCATCTCTCTCTTTAATAATAAAGAAAAAAAATCGAAAGATAAAAACCTTCCGAAACAAACAAATAATAAAGATTTGGCAACCTTCGTCCACTCGACCGTATTATACTGACATATTAACAAAAGTCTTAAAACAGAATGTCAATAGACGTTCAACAAGTTGTTACACCGTTATCGCATTTATACATCGCCTTATTAACACAGAACACGGAGAACCTGCGCTTGCGCACCGCACGCATGCAAATTAACCATACACGTGAAACGAAGTCTCCAAAAACATACCTATCCCTTTCGCACGCCGATTAAAATAGCAAATGTAAAAAGGACAAATGTATTTTTTGATGTAGAGCCTTGACGATTATGTTAATTTCAGATTTTTGTTTCTGGCCGCTACTGTAGCGAATTTTTGGACCCTTAATTTGGTAAAAGTACCCTTTTTTTGGACGATATTAAGCGCCTTAAGCCAGTTCTCACAGTGCAAAGATGGCGTGATAAGTTTTTAAACCACATACCTAACTAAATTTAGTTCGCAGAATGCAAAGTAATAGTGTTTGAAACTCAATTAAATATTAAAATGCTATGAAATATTTCATACCGTAAAATGTTTTTCTTAATAACAATAATATTTTGGAACATATTATACAACATAATCTATACTAACCATAACTTGTACTTGTTCTAAGACATATGTCAACCATAATTCATTTTGTTTCTCCTAGACAACTAAATGTTTGTAGTGTCTATTACATCAATCCGAAATATTTACATATAACACAAAGACCCAAGGTCAATTTATAAGCTTCTAGAAAATTAGTTTTATGGTTATAATAACACACTTACAGACATTTTATAAACAAGCAGAATTAACAGTTTTTACTTAAGACTTAGTAAAATAGGACTACTGCAGCATATGCACATGGAGGGTCCATGTGCATATGATAGAGTAGTACATACACAGATGCA